ACACAGCTACATTTCTGTCAACTAGCTAATGTCCAACAATTGGTAAGTTAGTAGATTTTGCTCTAGTTGACACTCCTTCAGTCTACATTTTGAAATGATGGCTGCTTGTTTTACTCATACATAAGTGGCTATTAGTGCTTCAAAAGTATGTTTAAAACAACAAAAGAATTATCCACAGCACAGTTTATCGGGTTGGTTCTTAACAGGCTCAAACCACAGAATGACAGCAATCCTTGGCTAGATAAGCAAAGCAGCAGATTGACAGCAGGAGTAAGGCAAGTACAGTCACATTGCTGAAGGGTTTTGGCCATGACACCTGTATACTATGCAGGTGTGCTTTGGTGTGGCTCAGGAAGCAGGAGATCTAAGAATGAAGATATTCTAACCCTTATCGAATCAATAGCCAGATGAGAAGTACTATTTGTGATACAGCAGAGTAAAATACAGCCAGGAAGCTAGTAACATTTGACTGAGTGGATTGTGGCTTTTCCAAATAATTATATATTGCCAAAGAACCCAGTGACTTGATATTAATTAAACAGAAAATACATTTAAATTATAAGTACTGTTTGATTTACATCAAAAAAGCATGACAGTCCCTTTCCCCAATCAGTTTTCTGCTTTGGCATTAATGTTTAAATTTTTTTTCAGTACTGGGTATTAAACTCAGGACCTTGCGCTTGCCAGGCAAGTGCTTATTTTACTGAGCCATCTCCCCAGCCCCTAATATTTTAAATTTTAATTAAATTCTGTTTTCTTACCTATACCTATCACTTGACTCCAGTTACTCCACAATTTGTCATCCTCATGGCATAATTTATTTGTCTTGACTCATTCTAATTGTGTAAAAGTATTAGGAAGAAGTCCAGGGACCATGAAAAAAGTTGTAGCCTTAGACAAAAACACACAAACACTATTACCAGTTTATTCTTTGTCTGCTATTGAATCATAGTATAATTATCTGCCAGATTCTGTATATGCTCAAGACTTGAACTGCAATTTAAGTGATCTGTCTTTGACTCGAAGTTGGCAGTAACCCACAGAACAAGTACTTTATTTTTCTGAAAGCAGATCAGATTTATCCTATGCCAGGCCTGCTCCAACCCCTGTTATTTGAAATCTAAGCCCAAATCGCTAAAGTTAAATTTACTGACCTTGATGTTTCTCTCAAACACTGCATTCTGACAAATGAGAGTAAGAAAGAAAAGGACATTTAGAGCTAGCCATGTTCAGGACCCTTTCATATTGAAGCCCAGACATTTTTAACCAGCGCACTAACCCCTGCATTTTGTTAATCTAATTTTCCATTTTGGTTGGTCTTTCTTTGTACCCAGCCCCTAACTCCTGGTGAGGCTGCACGCTAATTATCTCATGGTGGTGATACCATCTGCAGGAAAAGCTGGCCGTTGAGCAATCTTCAGCCTCCAAAATTATAGCCTACCTCTCTCTGGCCTGCTGGAAGCAGAAGACAGGGTATTTACCTCTGTACCCTGCTCAGGGCACTAAATCAGTCTCACAGGTTGAAGCCAAAACTTTATATGTTACTATTGGTAGTTCCCCAAGCTGAGGCCTCTGCCTGTGCTGTTCACAACTGAAATTTGGGGACTGTAACCATACATTGCCTGGGTGGTAGACTAAATGATGTGATATTTTAGTCATGGTAGTTGTTAAGGGTACCAGATGTATGAGGAGCATGGTACTGGTACTGACATAAAGGAACTGGGTAATTACTGGTTACTGCTTTTATTTCTTATCCCTGGTCACACAAGCACACATAAAAACTGTTTGATCACAAGAGGATGAGGGAGTATAGATGATTCAGAATAATCCCATCCTCAACTCTGGAAAAAGAACTGAAAGGGCATGGCTTACTCATAGATCAGTTGTACTATCTTTTCTTAGAAAGAACAGCATGATTTTGTTCACCATCTCTCTCCTGAAGTATTTTTAACCTCCAGAACAGAAGTAAGGAACATGGGACTTACACTGGTAAATTGTTCTTTATTGCCAGCATAGAAGGTGGGGAGGATGCACTGTTCATAGGGTGACTCTCCCAATAAAACTTTCAAGGTTTCATAAGAGGACTTGGTGATCTGAGAAAGTGTGTAAACACTATTTGTTTTACATATATTAAGATATTCTTAATGCTTATGACAACTCTGAAGGAAGTTAGAGAGAGCAATGTCATTATCTCCTTAAGTTAGCAGGGTTAGGGGTAAATCTAGATTTGACCAGAAAAAAAGATGGTTTTATTTTTTTCTGAGACATTGATTTGAGTTCAAGATGACACAACCTTAATGTTACACAGTGGAGCACGGACATAAGGAGCAAGAGGTCAATCACATTTTCTCCTTTCACTCTCGCCTCATTTTACTTAACCATGTTATTCCTGGGTTTGGGGACTTTCTTCTATTGTCATGAGCTTAAAGAAAATATAACCAACTTCTACTCATTTGTATTAATGTAGGAGAGCAGTGATATAGTTACAAAAAGATGAAGATAAACCAGAAGCTGAACTATCAGGCTGTTCTAGCCAAAGAAACCATAGAGAAAACAGAGGCCATTTTTTTATGTTCACCTGTAGAAAATCAGAAACCCAGAAGAGGAAAGATAACAGGTCACATGATTCCCACTCCTGTTCTTTCTTCAGAATATATGACTTCGTTGCTACATACTTTCCTTTCTCGTTATGACTTGTACGAGCTCTTAATTGGCATTTGTGGGGCATACAGCCAATTAAGTGTTAAAGGCAGTAGATCCAGAGACACACAAATGATAGGACAAGCTAGATCCAAACTAAAAATTCATTCTGGATGATCACAGTCGGAGCTGGCCCTGTCTTTCATTACTAAAAGGTGTTGTACTTTCCTAGGCTCTGTTCTTTTAAGGGTAGTTCTTTATTGAGGGTTGGTGTTGCCTGGGAAATGCAAGATTGACTCTGAATTAGAAAATTATCAGTACATTTCTTGTGATTTTCTGTTTGTCTCAGAAGATAATGTGTTCTTTCTCCAGTTCAATACCAATCTTCACCGCCCATCTCTTATAATTATTTGCTCTTTTGTTAGACTGCCTGCTATATTTGTAACCTTAATAATACCCCTGCCTTGTTTTAATAAAAGCAAACATTTTACCTGGTCTCCTCTCAGTTATTAAATTATTATCCAAGCATCTTGAAAAAGTAGCTTATATGTGCTGTTCTACCATGTTTTCATTCATCCCAATGCCATACACAATGGATATATTTTAGTCTTTATTTTCAGGCATCTTGCTCTACAGGATTTAATACTGTTGAACCACTCACTTGCTTGGAACTCTCTTCCCTGAGTTTTATTAAACCACTTTCTTGATTTTCCTATTCCCCTGACTATTCCTCAAGGATTTTATTTGTCAGCAGATATTTGGGGGTTAATTAAATCTCTTTTATTAGAATGTTTCCCATCTTGTGCTCTCGCATAAAGGAGTGGCAAATTACTGGCACATAGCCAGTTGGGTAGGGATGGCTGTCTAATAAGAAGAGATGGACTCCTGAACTGCAGAAGTTCATTCTCTCTTCAAAGAATGTAGAGAGTTGGGAAATTGGTTTTAGGGAGCCAGGCTGAGAGGTCACAGAGACTCAGACACAAGCTACCATTTTGGCCAAGAAGGAGTGGATGAGTGAATAGAAGGTACTGCTTGGTAGAGAGTGGATTGGGGAAAATGAACTTAGCACTCAATAAGAAAGAGAAAAAGAGCTTGAGCCAGACAGGGGTATAGAGCAGGAAACGGAGGGAGAGAGGGGAATGATGAGAAAGAGCCAGGGAAGGGCACTGAGAAACTCCAGTTGCAGTGGGTGCCTCTGTTTGCTGTGTTAAATTACTGCGTGAGTTCTCTCAATCCTTTAACTATAAAAGATCTGATAACTATTTTGTATTTATCATGAGGGTTATTGTTTCTTGTTACCTTTCCCCTATGAAAATGTTTCCTTCGTAAACTCAAATTGTCCTAAGGGGTTTCATTTTTTTAAAATATAGTTTTAAAATGTTTTTATTTCTACCAGTGTCATACATGCTCAAAGTTTTAAAAAGTAAGATTATGAAACACAATAAATGGATTTCCTTATACCAATCCCTTTCCTGCCTCTCACAAGGAATCACTCTTGAGATGTTCCTTATTACACCTTTAAAACATTTTCTCAGATTAACAGATCTGAGCAACAGATTTAACAATAAAAATAGATTATATACCAACCATTGTTAACCAGCTACTCTTGTTTTGAAAATCTATAACATATGTATTGTTGTATGTTACCCTGTTTCTATCTTTCTTCTCATTTTTGTTCTTGCTTTTGTTTTTACTCTTCAAAATAAAATAAAACTAATTTAAAAAACATTTTCTACAATGTGTTGTGGTAATGTATAAATAGCATAAAGTTTACCAAATTACCCATTTTAAATGTACATTTTAGTGACATTGAATACATTCATGTTGTTGTACCACTATCACTACGATCCATTTCCACATCTTTTTAATCATCTCAGATTAAAACTCTGTATGCATTAAAGAATAACTTCCCATTATCTTCTCCTGAAGCCTTGCGTAATGATTATTTTGCTTTCTTTATAAGTTTGACTATTCTAGGTACCTCATGTAAATAGAATCATATTTATCCATTAGTGTCTGTCTTCATTTAAATTAATGTTTTCAAGGAGTATCTATATGTTAGAATTTCCTTTCTTTTTAATGTTGAATATTATTCTATCGTATGTACATACCACATTTGGTCTGCTTATTCAGCAGTGGAGGAGCCTTTTGTCTATTCTGAATGTGCTGCTCTGAACACAGTTATACAAGTATATCTTTAAGTCTTAGTTTTTATTTCTTTTAGATACATACTTAGGAGTGGATAGCTGAGGAAGAATGACATTTCCATACCTTGACTGTTGTGAATAATATGGTAGTTCTGTGTACTTTTTTCTTTTGAACACTTTAAAGATTAAGTCTTTTTGTTTTTTTCTTTTCAGATAAGGTGTGATTTTATAGTCCACACTGGCTTCAAATTCACAATCATCCTGCTTCAGCCTCATGAGTCCCAGACTACATGCAGATGCATGCCCCCATACCCTGTGAGGTATACACTTTTTAAACTTAACCTCTTGAATTTGTATTATGGTAGCTGCAGATTTGCCCACTGATTGTGTTATCTGGTTCCTGGGTGTTTATTCAGTCCTGACCTTGGCTCTGAGTTTCAAGCTTCAGTGCTTGCTGGCAATCTCTGTGTGGAGATTAAGCCCAGTGTATCTAAAACATAATTAAAATAATTGCTCCTGCTCCAGCCCACAAACATCTTCTTCCATTGATTATTATACTGTTCTCGCCTGGTGAGTTTTACCAATATCTACTCAAGTCACCCAAATAAGAAACCTGGCAGTTATCAATAAACTGATCCTGGACCTTACCATCTTCTAAATCACCAAGGCTTCCTGATTTCACCACTTAAGTACTTAGCTCTTTTCTCTTTTCTTCTTACTGTCAGGGCTCTAGTTCAGATCCTCATCATCTATATTTTGCTGTTGTACATCTTACATTTTAAGCGTCTTTATTGACACATAAAATTGTATGTATTTCTGGTATACACTTGGATGTTTTGATATATGTATATTTTGTAAAATGATCTCTGTCATCTAGATAATTAGCATATCTATCTCCATATAATTAACGGCATGTGTGTTTATGATGAGAAAATTTAATTTGAAGATCTATCCTCTTAGCAATACAAGTATGCAATACAGTATTGCTAATTTTTGACATTGTGTTCTACAGTAGAACTTATTCATCTTGTATAATAGAAACTTTGTACCCTTTGACCAACATCAACTTATTCTCCACTTCTCCCAAATCCTAGTAACCTCCACACTATTTTCTGCTTCTATAAATTTGACTGCTTTAAATTCTACATATAAATATGATCATATAGTATTTCTCTCTCTCTGTATCTTGCTTATTTTATTCAGTATACTCTTATCCAGGTCCTTCTACATTGTTGCAAATGGAGGGATTTCCTTCCTAAAATGAATAATATTCCACTGTGTTTGTATCATATTTCCTTTATATATTTATCCGTCAAAGAATACTTAAGTTGCTTCTATATTTTGGCTAATTCGAATAATGCTACAGTAAACAGAGAAGTCAGATATCTCTTTGCACTCCTGATTTCATTTCCTTTTGATATATACCCAGAAGCAGGATTTCTGGATTGTATGGTAGTTTTATTTTTAATTTATTTCAAGAATCTCTATCCTGTGTTCTGTAATGGCTGTATTAATTGACATCCCAACCAACAGTGAGCAAAAGTTCCCCTTTCTTCATTTCCTTGTCAACACTTGTTTTCTTTGGGTTTTTGATCATAGCCATCCTAACATGTGTGAGGTAAAATCTCTTGTGGTTTGATTTACATTTACCTGATGACTAACAATATTGAGCATCATTTCATACACTTGTTACTATTTGAGTTTCTTCTCTGGAGAAATGTATATTTAGATCTTTTTCCTGCTTTTTTATTTTTTTAATGTATTTAGTACAGGGTCTACAGGTTCTCACTACACAGATTGGACTTGTGATCCTCCTGTTTCAGCCTCACAAGTACTGGGACTACAAGCACATGCCACCATGCCCAATCTAAGTCACTGTCTCAGCATGCCCCAGAGGCGGGGCCAGCACAGCACACCAGGTATTGAACCCCAGCTGGTGAGCTCTGGCTGGCCCTGTCTGCTTTTTCTGTGAGGACCTACATGTGCCCAGAGCTGCTCGTCTGAGCTTGGGCTGTGCTGACCGTTTTTTTTTTTTTTTTTTGTGGAATTGGGGATTGAATTTACCAGGCAAGCGCTTATTCTACTGAGCTATTTCCCTGGCCCTCCCTGTCTTTTTTTAAATTGAGTTATTTTTGTTCTGAGTTTTATGAGTTTCTTGTGTATTTTGGATATTCATACATTACTGGATAAATTTTCAAGTATTGTGTCCCATTCCTTAACATGCCATTATTGTTTCCTTTTGCTATGCAGAAGCTTTTAAGTTTAATATAGCTCCTCTTATCAAGTTTATTTTGTTGCCTGTGGTTTTGGTATAATGCCAAGACCAATGTCAATAAGGTTTTTCTATTTTCTTCTAGGAGTTTTGTAGTTTAAGTGTTATGTTTAAGTAACAGTGTTTATTTTGAGTTGGTTTTTGTGTGTGGTGTGAGCTAGGGATCCAGTTTTACTTTTCTGCATATAGATATTCAGTGTTTCAAATTGAATTTGTTAAAGATACTATCCTTTCCCCCACTGGGTGTTCCTGACACCTTTGTTGATCAGTTTACTGTAAATGTGTGATTTTCTTTGCAAGTTTTCTATTCTGCTTCACTGGTCCCATTTGTCTATTTTTATGTCAGTATCCGTTATGGTTTGTGTCTAAATGTCCCCCCAAAACCTCATGTGGTCATAATGATTTTTTAGAGGCAGTTGCATTTAGAGTTTGTGACTGATTAATAGTACAATCCTGGTATGAAGGGTACTGGGATTAAGGCTGGATGATTGCTGGATCAGTTCACTGATTGGATTAGCACTGCCTTAATCCCAGAAGCCTGGATAGAGTAAAAAAGGTACAGAAAGAGACTGTCAAGGTATAGTTGTTGATTTTGCTGTCCTCTACTGACATGAACTATTGCCCCTCTGCCACATATCACTCTGCCTTGGAGCCAGCCAATTATGGATTGAAACCTCTATAGACTGTAAGCTAGATAATTCTCACTTTCTTAACTGTGGGTGTTGGGTACTTGTGTCAGCAACAAGAGAAAAATAAGAGAGTATCATATTGTTTTGATTACTGTAGCTTTGCAATATATTTGTAATTTGAAATCAGAGTTTGCCATCTCCAGCTTTGTTCTTGCTCAAGAGTACTTTGACTGTTTTTGGTCATTTGTGGTTCCATGTGAGTTTTAGGGTTCTTTTCTATTTCTATACAATGATATTAGGATTTTGGTAGATGTTATACTGAACCTTTAGATTATTTTAGGTAGTATACCCATTTGAACATTATCAATATTTGTAATTAATAACATGAGATCTTTACATTTTTTGGCCTTTTACATTTTTTTCATTAACCTTAAATAATACCATTGTACAAGTCTTTCACCTTTCAAGTTAAATTAATCCCTAGATATATTTTTCTTTTTATTAGTGATATAAATGGTTTGCTTTCTTAATTTCCCTTTTAGTGAGTTGGTTGTTAGCTGTTATGGTTTATATCTAGATGTCTCCCAAGAGCCTCAAGCCCTCATAGATGGGTGGAGCTTTTGAAATGTGATTGAATCATGGGAATGAGATAGCTCACTAGTTGTAAGGTGGTAGGGTCTAGCTGGAAGTGGTAGGTTAGTGGAGGCATGACCTGAAAAAAATGTGTCTCCCTCCTTGCCTCAACTCTTCCTTCTTTACTTTCTAGACTCCATGATGTAAGCATATTTCTTTGCAGATGCTTTTCAGTAAATATCAGTGGCGTCCAAAGACTTCAGGTAGCTGTTGATTATAGTGCTTATCCACCACAATCTTCCCACCAGCCAATATGTTCTAATGAAACCACAACTGTGGTTTTAAAAAATCTTTTATTTATTTATTTGGTACAGGGTCTCACTACACAGCTTGGACTCATAGTGATTCTCCTGTCTCAGCCTCCCCAGATCTGGGAATTACAGGCATGAGCCACCATGCCCGGTTTTGGTGGTTGGCACAGTAGCACAGCATGTGGTACCATGGATCCAACCCGGATCCTTGCACTTGCCAGGCAGGCACTTAGACCACTGAGCTATCTCCTCAGCCCTGGGAAAACAACTTTGGCCCCATTTTACCAATCTTACCTTTTTTTAAAATCAGTTAGACATAGTCCTGAAGCCTGCATCTAGAAGCGCCATTAAGCCCCATGCAGGAAAGTTTCCCTTGAAATACATATAACTATTCACTAGTAGTTGACTAAATGAGTCAACAGAATCTTCCATTAAATACCAAGATACGAGATTCAGTGGATTCTTGGACCTAGCCTGCTACTCCAGGATCACCAGTTCCGTAGGCCTCATTAATGTAAGATCAGACACAGGTTTTAAGCCATATATCTAAAACATCATTTCTTTCACCAGTGAAAGACCCCTTTTATGTTAATAAGAAAACCACTTATAGATTTAGGTAGCCTGGATAAATCTTTCTAAGAGGTTTTTCAGGAGTATGGACCTGTAATTTGTCTTTCACATGTAAACTATGAGGGTGTAATGAAAATATATGTTGAATGCTTAAAATTAAAAAGATTATTAAAGTAAAAGGCACACTTCCATTAATCTCCCTCAAAACACATACCCTTGCTTTAAACACATTTATCCTATAATTCTTGCCACTTTCTGAAGCAATTCTAGAAGTCATCTTTTGTTTTTGTTTTTGTTTTTTTTTTCAAAGTTTTATTGACAAACAGATAGCAATGAGACAGTTTCAAATCATATCGGAGGACAGTTTCAACAAATAATACACTGCATATATTCTTCTTAGTGGTTAATTGCTGTACAAGATGCGGACTTGTGATCC